ATCCCTCACTCCTACATAACATACCAGGTACATCCCTCACTCCTACACAATACTACAAGTCGATCCCTCACTCCTACACAATACTACAAGTCCATCCCTCACTCTTACACAACATACCAAGTCCTTCCCTCACTCCTACACAACATACCAAGTCCATCCCTCACTCCTACACAACCTACCAAGTCCATCCCTCACTCCTACACAATACTACAAGTCCTTCCCTCACTCCTACACAATACTACAAGTCCATCCCTCACCCGTACACAACATACCAAGTCCATCCCTCACTCCTACACAATACTACAAGTCCTTCCCTCACTCCTACACAATACTACAAGTCCTTCCCTCACTCCTACACAATACTACAAGTCCTTCCCTCACTCCTACACAACATACGAAGTCCATCCCCCACCCATACACAACATACCAAGTTCATTCCTCATCCCTAAACAACATACCAAGTCCTTCCCTCACTCCTACACAACATACCAAGTCCTTCCCTCACTCCTACACAACATACCAAGTCCTTCCCTCACACCTACACAACATACCAAGTCCTTCCCTCACACCTACACAACATACCAAGTCCATCCATCACTCTGCATTATTACTTATTCAAATGACTTGCAATTGTAATTACAATTTTCTAAAAGCCATTTGAACAAGTAATAATCCACACATCGAATTTTGGTCAACAGATCCTTAAGCAGCATATTCAGGAGTACCTATACAGTACTGAGATTTTGAACAATATCAATTTTTTGGCCGAAAATGACACAAATTGTAAGCCTTTAAAGATTTTTGGCCAAAAATACCTTTTCTCCCAGAACTAAAATTTTATGTGCCTAACTACTTAAGTACACCCAGAATAATACACAAGCACCAAGAAATGACCTTGAAAACCCAAAATGGAGAGGAATTAGCATTGGAAAAATACAGTAATTAAAATATTCTAAAAGCCATTTGAACAAGTAATAATCCACACATCGAATTTTGGTCAACAGATCCTTAAGCAGCATGTTCAGGAGTACCTATACTGAGATTTTGAACAAATTCTAATTTTGGCCGAAAATGAAAAAAAATTGAAAGTCTTATCTGAAAGGATTTTTGGCCAAAAATACTTTTACTCTCAAAAGTAAATCTTAACCTGCTTAACTACTTAAGTACACCCAGAATAATACACAAGCACCAAAAAATGACCTGAAAATCCCAATTGGCGAGCAATTAGCATTGAAAAAATAATTAAAATTTTCTAAAAATCATTTGAACAAGTAATAATCCAGATATCAAATTTTGGTTAACAGATCCTTAAGCAGCATGTTCAGGAGTACCTATACTGAGATTTTGAACAAAATCTATTTTTGGCCGAAAATTAAAAAAATTGTAAGTCTTATGCCTTACAGGATTTTTGGCTAAAAAATAGATTTTGTTCAAAATCTCAGTATAGGCATTCCTGAATATGCTGCTTAAGGATGTGCTAACCAAAATTTGATATCTGGATTATCACTTGTTTAAATGGCTTTTAGAAAATTGTAACTAATTTTTGCAAGTCATTTGAATAAGAAATAATGCAGATATCAAATTTTGGTCAACAGATCCTTAAGCAGCATGTTCAGGAGTACCTATACTGAGATTTTGAACAAAATCTATTTTTTGGCCGAAAGTGACAAAAATTGTAAGGTCTTATGCCTTAAAGGATTTTGGCCAAAAGTACTTTTTCTCTCAGAACTAAAATTTAATGTGCCTAACTACTTAAGTACACCCAGAATAATACACAAACACCAAGAAATGACCTTGAAAACCCAAAATGGAAAGCAAATAGCATTGGAAAAATACAGTAATTAAAATATTCTAAAAGCCATTTGAACAAGTAATAATGCAGATATCAAATTTTGGTTAACAGATCCTGAAGCAGCATGTTCATGAGTACCTATTCTGAGATTTGAACAAAATCTATTTTTGGCCGAAAATTAAAAAAAATTGTAAGTCTTATGCCTTACAGGATTTTTGGCTATAAAATAGATTTTGTTCAAAATCTCAGTATAGGTATTCCTGAATATGCTGCATAAGGATCTGTTGACCAAAATTTGATATCTGGATTATTACTTGTTCAAATGGCTTTTAGAAAATTTTAATTAAATTTGCAAGTCACTTGAATAAGTAATAATGTAGATATCAAATTTTGGTTAACAGATCCTTAATCAGCATGATCAGGAGTACCTATACTGAGATTTTGAACACAATAAATTTTTTGGCCGAAAGTGACAAAAATTGTAAGTCTTATGCCTTAAAGGATTTTTGGCCAAAAATACCTTTTCTCTCAGAACTAAAATTTAATGTGCCTAACTACTTAAGCACACCCAGAATAATACACAAGCACCAAGAAATGACCTTGAAAACCCAAAATGGCGAGCATGCATTGCAAAAATAATTAAAATTTTCTAAAAGCCATTTGAACAAGTAATAATCCAGATATCAAATTTTGGTTAACAGATCCTTAAGCAGCGTGTTCAGGAGTACATATACTGCGATTTTGAACAAAATCTATTTTTTGGCCGAAAATTACAAAAATTGTAAGCCTTTGCCTTCGAGGATTTTTGGCCAAAAATACCTTTTCTCTCAGAACTAAAATTTAATGTGCCTAACTACTTAAGTACACCCAGAATAATACACATGCACCAAGAAATGACCTTGAAAACCCAAAATGGCAAGCAATTAGCATTGGAAAAATAATTAAAAATTTCTAATAGCCATTTGAACAAGTAATAATCCAGCTATCAAAATTTGGTTAACAGATCCTTAAGCAGCATGTTCAGGAGTACCTATACTACGATTTTGAACAAAATCTATTTTTTGGCCGAAAATTAAAAAAATTGTAAGTCTTGCCCCTTACAGAACTTTTGGCCAAAAAATAGATTTGTTCAAAATCTCAGTATAGGTACTCCTGAACATGCTAATTAAGGATCTGTTAACCAAAATTTAATATCTGGATTATCACTTGTTCAAATGGCTTTTAGAAAATTGTAAATAATTTTTGCAAGTCATTTGAATAAGAAATAATGCAGATATCAAATTTTGGTTAACAGATCCTTAATTAGCATGTTTAGGAGTACCTATACTGAGATTTTGAACAAAATCTATTTTTTGGCCGAAAATGACAAAAATTGTAAGTGTTACCCCTTACAGAATTTTTGGCCAAAAGTTCTTTTTCTCTCAGAACTAAAATTTAATGTGCCTAACTACTTAAGTACACCCAGAATAATACACAAGCACCAAGAAATGACCTTGAAAACCCAAAATGGCGAGCAATTAGCATTGCAAAAATAATTAAAACTTTCTAAAAGCCATTTGAACAAGCAATAATCCAAATATCAAATTTTGATTAACAGATCCTTAAGCAGCATGTTCAGGAGTACCTATACTGAGATTTTGCTATGCCCATACCAGAACACTCAACATGTAAACTTTGTGATAAACCTCTAAAGCATACACGTGAACACTATATTATTGAATGTGACACTGTCAAATACTTCAGGCCACCTTACTTATTGCATCTTGAACTATGTAATTACTACATTGAATCAGGGGTGCTTGAGGACACTCTTGCTGTTTATCCCAAATTTGCTAGCCCACACTGATTAGTCTTCAATTAGAATATGACTCCAATGTATGTGATCCACTGACCTATATATACTGCTAATGAATATGATGTACAGTATTTCTTTCTTTGTGTACGAACCTCTGTCCTGCATGGCAGTGAACAGTAGCATTACCCACATGAATCTGACCTACGTATATGTATGCATGTGTGTGTGTATGTGTATGTATGTATGTATATGTGTATATATATGTATATGTATATATATGTGTATGTGTGTGTGTAGATATATGTACAGTATATGTACTGTCAATGAATATGATGCATCTCTTTGTGTACGAACCTCTGTCCTGCATGGCAGTGAACAGTGACATTACCCACATGAATCTGACCTCTATACATTTATAGCTGTTAATGAATATGATGTATTACTTAGTATATGAACCTCTGTCCTGCATGGCAGTGAGAAGTGATACCACCCTGAGTGTTGAGTCCTGACTGAATTACTCAGAATAGGCAAACTGTACTACAAGCTTTGCCAATAAATTTGTTAAACTAAAATGAACAAAATCTATTTTTTGGCCAAAAATCCTGTAAGGCATAAGACTTTACAGTTTTTGTCATTTTCGGCCAAAAATTTGATTTTGTTCAAAATCTCAGTATAGGTACTCCTGAACATGCTGCTTAAGGATCTGTTAATCAAAATTTGATATTTGGATTATTGCTTGTTCAAATGGCTTTTAGAATATTTTAATTATTTCTGCAATGCTAATTGCTCGCCATTTTGGGTTTTCAAGGTCATTTCTTGGTGCTTGTGTATTATTCTGGGTGTACTTAATTAGTTAGGCACATTAAAATTTAGTTCTGAGAGAAAAAGTATTTTTGGCCAAAAATTCTGTAAGGGGTAAGACTTACAATTTGTCATTTTCGGCCAAAAAATAGATTTTGTTCAAAATCTCTGTATAGGTACTCCTGAACATGCTGATGAAGGATCTGTTAACCAAAATTTGATATCTGCATTATTACTGTACTTATTCAAATGACTTGCAAAATTAATTAAAATTTTCTAAAAGCCATTTGAACAAGTAATAATCCAGATATCAAATTTTGGTTAACAGATCCTTAAGCAGCATGTTCAGGAGTACCTATACTGAGATTTTGAACAAAATCTATTTTTTGGACGAAAATCCTGTGAGGTCGATGTGATCCACTACTTCTTCTTCCTGTTGTGTCTTCTCCACTCTCATTAAAAAATATATCAAGAGATGTATGCATTGTTACCTTTATCTTTTTCCTTTGTGGATCATGTTGCAGCAAAAAGTAGCATCATGGACAGCTGTTGATACCATTGTGAACTTCTCTGAGTTTGGGTCCTCACTTGAGACTATAATAAAAAAACTTCTTCCAAATACAATTTAATTTAAGTTTACACTAGATTTTTACATATAGTACTTCAACCACAAGTAAAAATACTTCAGTAAAGAGAAATAAACACGGTTAGTGAACTGTCAGACTTTTTTCAAGAACTAATCAGTTCATTTTTGACACTTTATTTTTTCTCTTGTCAGAACCTTTAAATTTCTTCTTACTTACTCTCTTTACAGGAGCCTTAATATTAATAGTCTTCAGAAGCTTTGAATATTCTTTTGACTCCTTTTTCATAATAGATAATGCTTTATTTGAGTCCTCATTCTTTGTGTTAGACAATTTTGACCCTGCACGGTTTGGCACAACAAGAAAGCCCGTTTGAGTTGGGTACTTTCCAGAAAAACTGGAAGGTATGAAAGGTGTTGCAAGCATTTTCATCAGTACTGAACGTTTATTCTGAAGATCACGTTTGTCATGAGCAGCTTTCATGGACTTCTCTCTTTCATGATCTTCATCATATTCATCTCTGCAATAATTTATAAAAATTAGTAACCTAATAAGTAATATGGAAGAGACAAAAAAAATCAGTTCTTTTTATTTCTTAAAGCATGTTGATTCTGAATCTATGGCCCACAATTTGATTGCAGGGTCGAAAAATTATCAAAATATACTTTTTTCTCGCAATTAGAATTTAAGGGGTTTCACTAATTGAGTACAGTAAGCCCTCGATAACTTGGAATTTTATATAACTCGGCTTGGATATGGTCTCGGGATGTATTAGTATAACTCTGGAAATTCCGAGATACTGTATAAAAAATTATCTGGGAAAATCTCTGCATCACCTACTATGATGCTTATTCTTCACCTGCAGTGCTGGTGGTGTTACTTTTTAACATTTAGTAATTACATCTACACATACAGGGGGTATACGGATCAATAATATTTTATTGTTGTATTTTTGTAGGAGGGGGAAGAGCCTCGATAAGTTGGAATTTGGGATAACTCGTCAAGGAAAGAGCCCCATATATGTCGAGTTATCGAGGGTTTACTGTACTTTCTGAATAACACAAAAACACCTAAATTGCACCTTGGAAGCCCATAGTTGGCGAGTAATTAGCATTAAAATATTCCAAGCATCATTACAGCCACTAATTACCCAGTAATCAAACTGTGGACCATAGATTCGGAATCAGCATGCTCAGGAGTATCCATACTGAGATTTTCAATGAAATCTGACTTTGTTTCTCTTACTTTGACAACACAACATACATACATCATTTTTCACTAACGGTCATTTTTTTTAATTGAAGGTTCTTTATTATTATTATTAAAATTATTTTTATTACTATTATTATTATATTCTTCTATTAATTTTGCTTAATTATTATTATTATTATAATTATTATTATCATATTACAGTATTATTATTACTGTACTATTATTATTACTGTATTATTATTATTTTATATTCACCCCAGGCCTATAAGTTGCTTTAATGTAATTCCTCATATACTAAAATTAATATTGACATTATTCTGGTGGGAGTGTCTCATAAGTAAGAAAAATGTTGTATCTGTAGGGAAAATCAACATACTGTATTCACAGACTGCTTCAGTCATCTTCTGTTACATGCCATGAAACGTTAACATATTACTTAAAAAATTATTATGATGGATTTGTTTCATATATGGGTAAAATATAGTGACTGTAAACTGAAAATGTCGTAAGGTGGGTGTGACAAACCGCTTCACTGTCCGTGCTAATACAACATTAACACTTTTGGGTTAGATAGAATATAAATTTTGGTGGGTTAGCCCGCAGAAAAATACCTAAATCATAATGGAGCCCATGACTGAGGAAAGGTTGCCCATGCCTGATCTATAGTACCATAAGAGTACAGTGCAGTGAGGGTAGCACCACATTCGCTGTTCATATATTCCTTTCAAAATTAATTAAAAATCAGACACTCTTAAATTTTTGTGTTTATCCCTTATTCTATGTTATAATAACGTAAATTTTCACGACCAATTTAACCTCTGTGCCCTGTTTAGTAACTGTAATGTGGTTTCTGACATCAGGAACAACCTTCAATTTATAGCTCCACTGCACCTGTTTTACTTCTTATTAACCTGTACAGTACTGTATTTCTATTTCATGTATTGTTAGAGGAATTTTTTCACCTGAGGCTTGGAAATTTCTATGGTATGGCACCTACTGGATTGTGATGGTGCTAATTAGAGGGATTCAACCTGTCTATTATATACATTATATATTTTATACTACAGTGTTGTATATGAACTGTATATAGGACTGCATAAGATGATGAACTAAATTTTTACATGCATAATATAAAATATGTACATACTCTTCAAATACTAGTTCTGCTTCCTCTGCAGCTTTTCTAAACCACTCCTTCTCAGCATGGGTCTTGCGATGTTTATGTTCCAATTTTTCTACTGTGCGTGCCAAGGTAATCCGACTCTTCACTTGACTCATAACATTTGCATCTACAGGAAATGGTGGCAGATCAGTGGCCCGGTTAAGTGTATGACACAGCTGACGGTATTTCTTAAGTTCTGAAGACTCAATCAAAAGGATGCTTAATCCCTCTTGGTAGGCTCGAGCAGTTCGACCACTGCGATGGATGTATGTCTGCAACATAAAATCATTAATGTTTAATTTGGTATTACTAACATAAACAAAACAATTTAATTTTTATTACCTTCTGTTACTAACTACTGTACTTTCACTGTGAAAGTGAAAATTGTTCCCAAAGGCTTGGTGACCCATTATGAGTGCACATACACTATAAAACTATTCCACAATCTTCTCAGTAAAAACAATAATGAGTGTCCTAATATATCTTTATAGTAATTGTAATTACTCCTATTACCTTTCCCTTATACTGTACTGTACAGCAATTTTAAAAGGCATAACCTATACACTCTTAGCCTTCTACTGTACAACTTCTTCACCTTCTCTATCCTAGACATGTGTACAGTACAGTGAGTCATTCCATACTTTACACCTTCTAGTTGTTACATTTGCTTACATTAATAATTTCAAAATGCCTCTTTTAATTCTCACTGTTCAAAACAGGATATACAGTAGTACGCACTACTGTATACAGTATATCTCAATTATTACTTTTTCAACAAATGCTAACTTCTTCCCATTTACTTTTCTATTATGTTTTTTACCTTTTTTACAATGGTACATCACCAAAACCAATTATGACAAATTCTGATGCACTGATAAAATATACCACTGCCAATGATTATCTATTGTACCATCATGACATGATCCTGACTAAGATTATTTTACTGTTTCACTTTAATATATGTTGCAATCCTTTCATTCACTTACCAGATTACTGTACAGTATGTCAATACTGTAATTTCATACTAAAGAATAAATAAGAAAATGCAAGAAAAAAATGTTAACAGTCTATCTTATAAGTAATTACTAATACCTGTTGTAATCCAGACCGTACTATACTTAATTCAATAGTTTCCTTGAGATAAATGTACAGTATTTATCAGGTGCCACCGAGTGACCCAGCTCTCACTTGACTCAGCTATGTTGATATTGTTCACTGTGTGCCTAAATTTTTCAATCTCCATTGAGCTTCCTCGTTTTTTCACAATCATCCATATTTTAACTTTTAACTAGCAGTATCACATGAGGAGCTCTGAACCATAATCTGCTAAGTGCCAAAAAAGAAAATGCTCAGGGAGGAATGTGTGACACACAATAGTCTTTTCAGAGGTCTCTCACCCACATGTACAGGTTCCCAATTGGTTATCTGACTTACCCTGGAGACAGAGGAGAGGTTGGGGAATACAATTCAATACATAACACATTTCAGCGATATATGGCTCTTGGCAGATTATGGTCCGGAGCTCCTCATATGTTCTCTTGGCCTTCTCACCTTGTTCACCTGGTGTAAAACTTCTCTCTACCTCCTTGTGACAATCCTTACTGTCTCCCCACTTTTCAAATATAAATTCTTTTCTCTATTAACCCTTTTGCTAGCTGCCCATCATTATATTTTCAATCAAATTTCTAATCTTCTCACTATACTGTAAAATGTACACATAGTAGCAAGATATTTTAATTTTCAATTCTACGATGAAATAAATACTCAAATCATAGGAGTGAAAATAACCAACTACCTCAGCGGTGCGTGGTACATGATAATGAATGACGTGCTGGATGTTAGGAATGTCCAGACCACGAGCAGCAACATCTGTGGCCAATAACAATGCATGAGGATTGCCTGAAAACTTCTCTAAACTCTTGAGGCGTTGTTTCTGTGGCAGTGAGGCGTGGAGTGACTAAAACAAGAGACAATTTAATATAAATATTTTGTCTAATAATTTGTACAACAAATTTCACAATGATTTTACATAAACCAATTCAAAGCAAGAACATTTAAGAGCATTCAAAAACATATTAAAGGCATCCAGTTATACTGAGTGGCTAAAGCAGCATCCTATGAAGATGGTTATGCTGCAGTCACACAAGTGCTTTTATGATAAATTTCTTGACTGAAATTTATTTGATAAATTTTCCAGAAATTGATAAGAGTTTTTGGAGCAATGTTACTGGACGATCGTGATCTTCACTTCTTGATGATTTCAAAAAAGATTTCCGGGTCAAAACACGGCTAATACAGGTACGTATACTATATTTAGTGAGATGAAGCTTATTTGTCAGGTATGATATTTACATATACAGTACTGTATATAACATACGTTAATAATATTATGAATAAAACACACACACACAAAAATTAAGCACACAGTATCCCTTGAGATATGAATGGGCAAGGTTCCAAGAAAACCATTTGTTACCCTGTATGTGAATTTTTTTTATTTTGAATAGAAAAATACATGGAAAAAATAAGGTTAAATTCTCCAATGACAAAAATACCCCAAAACACAAAATCGGTTCACAAACAAGAAAAAAAACCTACCTAATGATAAATAGGACACCACAAGTGTAGGCCAAAATGGATTTTAGGCTGAAAAATCTTTTTCTCTCAGAATTGGAATTTAATGAGTCTAAATACTTAAGTACATCTACTAACCTGTGGCTGACATTGAAGCAGAGCAAAAAGGTTCTGTAGTCTTCGTACACAATCAATGCTGTTGCAAAAGACTAAGGTTCGGCCTGGGAAACACTTCAGGAAGTAGTACAGGTAAATATCTTTCTCTTCCTGCAAATAAAAAAAAAAAGACAAAAATAAGTATCTATCCCAAGACAAACTATTAACTAAATGATTTTTAATTCCCGTTTCGTCATCCTTTGTTGCTTTTTGGCCTAATGGAGTGGTCAGCCAGACAGTTTCAAAGTCAAAACAATTTAGGTATGCAGTACACGTCTGAGAGGAGAAAGTGAGGATTTATAATTGATTGATAACTTCATCCTTACTCTAATCCTAACTACTAACTGAGTCATCAAGTCTATCAATAAGAATAAAATAACTTCATCAACACAAATTTCAATCATAATGTTTGCAACTTTGTAAGCTAATCACTTAACTTACAAAGAAACTCTTCTTATTGTCCAGTCTTTCCTTACAGTACAGTATACACAATTATTTGTCACTTTGCATGGTATTTAGATATGCCTCTGGTCCGTCTGGTCCACTCGAATGACATTCCTAGGCCTTTTAATATTCAGCTATTGTCTTTATTCTGTCTCAAGTAATCTAATTTCCCAATCCTACCTTCAACTTCTGTATACTACTACAGTATTGATCCAATTTACCAATTTGCCAACCACCGTATGTCCTCGCAACAACAATTTCCTCGACAGGCAGGTAATCTCTGGTTACCTCAGGGGCACTTGGAAGTCCATATAAAAGAAAGTTGGCAATAAGAAGGGCATCCAGGTGTAAACTTGCTTCAAATATGAGAGAAATTTAAGGGAAGACTAAACGACACAAGACTCATGCACTGAAGGTAGCTTGATGCTGTGGCACAACAGTCTGGGTTTTAGACAATATATATACCCAGTAAGAGGCAGTGGTTTGGTGTGCAATTATTTGTTTTGTGATGTAAAAATCAGGCTTCATAATGGATTTCATAATACAGTATATACTGGCAGTGAAACAGAGAATGTACATACTGGGAACAATGAACTACTGAGTCAGGTCCTACAGTGAAAACATTACTGATGCCACATTTTTTTTAAGGGCCATGTGTTATTTGTTAACAATTAGTATACCAGTCCAGGCCTGTTTATGGTTTACTCAACAAAAATACAGGTGGCTGTGGAGAAAAACAAAAACAAACCATTGTCAGTTGAATAAAAGGTAAAGCAATTTCTCACCATGCCAAAAGAAGTTTGTGTATCAACTGGTGAGATAACAGAGAAATTCATTTGTTCAATGCCATCCACAGAGGGATCATGATTAACACTGATAAAATTCACAATGCAGGTGTAAGAAAGACACACTGTGCTGGTGTAACAATAACAAAGCCAGCAAGTGTTGTTGATTAAACTGTAACAAAATGCTAATTGTTCATATATCAATCATGTTGATCAATCAAGTACAATGTGTACGGAAAAAGTGGTGACTGGTATATAAAACTATTCAATCACATGATGGTGTCAATTTTGAATGCCTATTACATTTTTGTGCTAAAAACCAGGGCTGTGGAGTCGGAGTCGGAGTCGAGGAGTCGGAGGAAATTTCGGCTTGTGGAGTCGGAGTCGGTAAAATTGTCCAGACTCCGACTCCGACTGAAGCTATTCTGTTCCTAAGAACAAATATATGAACTCAGGCATATTCATTGCAGTGATTCCACTGATCCCACTAATTGTCTTAAATTATTAAAAGAATTTATTTCCATTTTATAAGCATTATTATGAATTTATTGTAGCAGGCACAGTATAGCACTATAATTTTGGACGATAGTCTCTTCTTTACCATTTGAAATTTTGAATTATATCAAATTTTGTTTCGTTGAAAACTGCACAGAGGCTCTCAGCTACAAAACAATTAGCTACAACCTGTTTTTGGTGAGATTAAGGCAAATTTAATTTAATAACTTAATCATGTAAGGTTTATCCATTTTCCTTAATAAGGTATTCATTTCTTTAATGTACATAAATATATAACTTTACTTTAAAAGGAATTGTAGGATCATCATTTAGATCCACATCAGATTATGAGCTTAAACAAAATTCATATGCTGAGATCGAACTTTTAGATATACATGTAAATGGTGTTTTCTAGTTAATATCTTGAATTCTTAATAAATATATTTTTCTTTTGATTGAAACTTTGAAAGTCAAGCCTATCATCTTTTTGTAGTTCTTAAATATCGTCCAGATCATTAATAAAGCTGTAGCAGTATAGCCACGGTGTTTTACTTTTTACCTATGCAGGTTACAACATACAAATTACAATTAGGATGGTAGAAATAGTTGTTACAAATAGGCCAAGGAGTCGGAGTCGGAAGCATAAAAATTTGAGGAGTCGGAGTCGAAGGTTTTGTCTTCGACTCCACAGCCCTGGTACCTATACTGAAATTTTGAACAAAATCCATTTTTTGGCCGAAAATGACAAAAATTGTAA